GAAAAAGTCCATCTTTAAAAATTATAATAACCGCCTAAATCTGAATTACTACTTAAGGCAAAGTGGTGTGCGTACCTACATAACAATAACGTGTTTTTCGGATAATTCGGGTAAACCGGCGGCGGCATGCCCATGAATCAGTTGTACAGGGTGAATCGAGGGGTGAGTCAACGATTGCGCGGAGTAACTTAATGCTTTGAAGATAAGATTTTTCGATAGAATACTTTTGCATTATGATATGGTTGAATATTCTCCACATTTTAAAAATATTTGGAATTATACAGGGTGCACCCACAAAGTAGCGCGCCCAAATGGTACATTTTTTTAAATAGAATCCCCTGTATTTGAATGCATTTTTGAATTCTACGTGTAATGGTACGTCTTTTTTATTATATGGTTAATATCCGAAAAGCTAGTAGTTTTAAAGATAATTCGATTTTTAAGAAAAACTGGGCATTTGCAAGCGTCAGTATATTGTCAAAATTATTACTTAAATTTTGATTCCAGGTTTTCTATTTTTTATCCTGGGTTAAGTAAAAGTCAAATAAATACATGTACTATAAAACATTTAAAAAATCGAGTAAAAAATAGCTTACAGGGTGTTTTTTTCTAGATCCAAAGTTACAAAACTTTATATTAAAAAATCACACTTTTTTTAAATGGAACGCCCTGTATATTTTTCTGTCATCATTTAGCTCCTCTAAAAACCTTTAAGTTTTGATAATAATGTCCTATACCTATCTCTGATAGTTTTCGAAATATCTTGGTTTTCCTGGGTTTTATATTCTAATCTTAAATAAAATTAAAAAGTTATATGTAATTTACATAATAGTGAGGTGGCCATGCAAAAAAAAGGCAATTTTTATCTGCCTCGTTCAAAGCTAAAATCATATTTATTAATTCATTTTTCTAATAGTTCATTTAGAGAATAAATTTGATAGTAAAAACCTTGGTAAAAACAAACAAATATCTTGATTTTTCTACTTTTTATATTTTAATCTGAAATAAGTTCTAATTTACATAATAACGAGTTGAATATGAAAAAAAATTAAACTAATATCAATATCACTGACTGGATGACATTAGGAGTTAATTTAAATTTGCTTTGTAGTCAAATGTTTTTACTTATTCTCCAGTTTTTGGACTTAAAATAAATTGTTTGAAAAATAAATTAATCGATATGATTTTCGTTTTGGACGAGATAGATCAAAATTGCCTTTTTTGCATCTCCACCTCACTATTGTAAATTACATATAACTTATTTAAGATTAGAATATAAAACCCAGGAAAACCAAGATATTTCGAAAACTATCAGAGATAGGTATAGGACATTATTATCCAAAGTTTAAGGTTTTTGGAGGAGCTAAATAATGACAGAAAAATATACAGGGTGTTCCATTTAAAAAAGTGAGATTTTTTAATATGAAGTTTTGCAACTTTGAACTTACCAAAAAAACACCCTGTAAGTTGCATTTTTAATGTTTCATAGTAGATGTATTTATTTGACTTTTACTTAACCCAAGATAAGATATAAAACCTGGAATCAAAATTTCATTAATAATTTTGATAATATATACTGACGCATGCAAAGGCCAAATTTTTTTTAAAAATCGAATTATCTTTAAAACTACTAGCTTTTCGGATATTAACCATATAATAAAAAAGACGTACAATTCCACGTAGAATTCAAAAATGCATTCAAATACAGAGGATTCTATTTAAAAAAATGTACCATTTGGGCGCCCTACTTTGTGGGCGCACCCTGTATAATTCCAAATATTTTTAAAATGTGGAGAATATTCAACCATATCATAACATAATACAAAAGCACTCTATCGAAAAATCTTATCTTCAAGGCATTAAGTTACTCCGCATAATCGTTGACTCACCGTGTACTGTAAACAATTACCGATACTACCCCCTATGCCAAACTACCCGTTGTGCTAATGAGTATTGACTTTCTGCTTAAAGCTCTCTACTCTTAAAAGGATGGTAAATCCCAAAAACTTGAATGGAACACATTTATTCTTAATATAGAAAGGATTTACTCCGCCAACGTTAAAAACATTTATAACATAAATAAATTAAAATTGATCTTTGGATCTACTAGTGGAAGATCTATTATCTCGTCTATTATAATATAATCTAGATCTAGATACAAGATCATCTTCTAAAAAGGATCTAGATCCAGTGATCCAGATCTAAGATATATGTGATTATCATGGAAACGTTGGCCTCGACCTTGGCATGTTTTTAAACACACAACACAGATTCATTATTACTGATTGAATCGCTACCACCTTTAAAACTGAATCGTCACCTTCAATCACCAGCACTGCAACAATCAATCCAATTAATTTAAAAAGTATGCGATTTGATAGACAAAATCACAAAAACCATAGTTTATGCCGGAAATACCTACATACAAGCAAAATGGAAAATAATAAAAAAGTTAGTAAATGCTCATAGGACTACCAAAGACTACCACCAGAAAACCAGCGATTACCACTGACTACCACGGGAATACCAGAGACTACCAGTCATTTGTACGAAAGAATACCACACCGACTAACCCCTCGAGGAACACTTATGTGACTACAGGTACTATACTGCTGCAGCTAACCGTTTCTCTAATAGTCTGTTCTTTTTCCAAACGAATCGATTGCATGTTGCTTGAATGCTGCTCTTTGTCAACTTGGAAGTATGGCTTTATTAATGATGAATTGCTGTGTTCTGTTATTTTTATTAGACCTTTCCACTTTTACTCAATTCCTCGCTTAATTCGCTAACTGCTGCCGCTTGATTTGAATGATTTGTAATTTTAACACGTTTAACATATATCCCAATGCATTGTGCTGAGCATTTGGTCCATTTAGAATAAAACGACGATTCCTTCCTGATGGCCCTATTCCGAAAACAGTGATTTTGAATATTTTAAAGGCTCTTGTAGTGTTTCCATCGGATAGATAGATAAATGGGGGAATCAGACACTAACAAAAAGCATCGTTCATCCAATTTGAATAAATCCATCGCGATGGCACCAATTTCGTGTAGATTCGTTTACTGCAAGTGGGGCAATTTGTCACCAAATCTTCTAATTGTTTTGACAAACCTGGTCAACACACGGACTGTAGTGCTCTGCATTTTACTATCCCCAAATGAGCGCCGTGTGTGCGTTCCAAAATTTCCTTTTGCAAAATCGATGGTATTACGACGCCTTTAATAAACTCCCGTTGTCCACAGAAATGTCCATACGATGTTGCCAAAATCCTGCCAGGGCCAAAGGGAGCCGGTTTTTCGCCGGAGGCCATTCAAATTGAGAAAAGAGTATGAATGTAGGTAGGAATAGAATTATTATATCGATTATTATTGTATAATCGTCTTCTTTAAGAGATATGTATTAACCTCGGTATTAACCAATTGCAATGTGGCCAGAATTTTGCAGACAATAATTGAAGCAATGGAACCGTGCTTTAAAATGAGCAGTAAAAAAGATTTCATTGATTATTAACAATTTTCGGTAACTTTAGATTCGCCTCTCACTAAAAAAGGCACCGCGCCTATTCCCATCCCATTTTCCAATAGAAAAATAAATTATTAGCTTAGAGCCAACTTTCTTTATTATGCTTAACCTTTCGCATCTTGAAACAAATCGCTTCCTATTTACTAACACATATAAGGAAACTTATCATTTTTAGTTGAATTTCTAACAGTGAAAGAATATGGTTTACTTTTGACTCGCTAAGCTCGTCTAAACTAATACCCAATAACAAACGAGGTTCTTTGCATTCACTTTTATAGGAATGTCTATCGGCAGGGACTAAAGCGTATATGTGAAATGAAACTTAATGAATGAATTGATTTTATCTAGAAAAATATTTTAGGTGTGGCGTTACATAAATTTTCGATGATTCTCTAGTGTTATTTTTGACAACTATATTATGCAGGCAGAAAGGCTTGGTGCAGTGGAAGAGATTACATTGATCTGGAATGTAATAAACGATGAAAGGAGATTGCCAGGATTTGATATAACATTTACACTGTAGGTAGGTATTACAACGTATTGTGATCGAGTTTTATCAACAGGTGTTAAATAATAGTGTAGTGGTCCCTTAAAATTCCACATGGAATAAACATGAACAACCGCAAAATCGATACAATACAAATGATAAATTAATTAACAGGTTCTGTAGCGGTGGATCATCGTGTGCATTTAGTTCTGACGCCGCTTTCCAACCAAAAGATAAATGAAACAAGTGTTTTCCCGAAAAGTCCCGAAAGTTTATATTATTGGATTTCTTTATCTTTGTTACCCATAAACATAACCAATGGTTATCTTTTTATATAGCTGAAAATACTACCTACTAAACAACTTTTATCTGAAACTAAACCATGTGTCTTTAAAGTGCCATGACGATACCTGATGGATATTTCAGTAATCGTTTCAGTGTTCTTTTAGTACAAGGATAGAAACTGCTGTTATACTATAATACCCTCCAAAAACTTAATGTACAATGCAATGTAATGTATTCCTTGCATGAATATGCACTAAAGTTAAATTGAAATTCCTACTTTCCGTTCATTTTGCTGCAATTCAGAAAAAAATACAATCTTCGCAAAAAATTCGTTCGAACAAGAAGCTTAATCTAATTAATGTTCAAATTTTAAAATAGAAATGTATCTCATTCCCATTCAATTAAATGTTCAAACGAAACTGTAATCTTAATGGAGAAAAATAGAAGTATAGGAAGTGTACCTAACTTTCTAAATTGATCAAAGTCGGTAGTGAGAATAGATAGATATTAAAATTGAAGACATTTAAAAACCATAAATTTGAATAAAACAAACAAGTTTTTATTTTAAAATTCAGGTGTTCAAATTAAATATGTAAATGACTATGGAAGCTTATCTCAAAACTGTTTAAAGCAGATGGATAAAGTTTGGTGTTTTGTTTCGGCTAGTAGGTAGGAAACAAATGGAAGACGTAACCACATACCTACCTCTTCTATGATCAAGGAGCTTATTAATCCAAATTTAACGTGCGAGTTACCCTCCAAAAACGTGTCCTTTTGCTAATAAATGTGCTGTTGGTGGTGTTCACTTAATAAATCACAAGAAAAATTGCAACAAAACTCACAAAATCATCACTCAACACTGCACTCGTAGCTGAAAACTGAAGAAGCCGAAGCATCCAATAGAAACCAAAAAAAGCGATAAAGCAAAACCACATAAAAAAGTAACATTTACGAGTAAAATAACGCGGAGAATTATAAAGTTCACCGACCGAGCACCACGAAACGTCACGTTGAACTACTGGTTAAACTTGCTAAAAGGAATAAGAAGTTATTTCACCACGTGGAAAAGCTTTGTATGCGCATGCCAACGGTGTTACAAGTGGCGAAGGATAACGGCAGGACTACCAAACAAAATTGATGCGGTACACCGATTGGTCATTCAAACTAGAGAAAAAATGTGAACTTGTCAATTTTTCGAGAATTCTGACTAAGAACGATTCAAATGCCAAATACGTTTCCGTTCCAGTGCTTCTACTTTTACAGGTGTTATCTTTAGTTTTCTAAGAGAAATGAGTCCGCTCTCATAGATTGAGTAGGTATTTTTAGTAGATGAGAATCTCTCGAAGAGTGTGGCCATTAACCTATTTTAAGACCAAAAAAAAATACTATTTTACTGCAACAATTATTGTTCAGTCAAACAATACGTTATTTCAGTTAATTATAGTTTTTTACACATCTTTATGTATTATTTAGATTACTTTCCTGACTCTTAATCTACTACAAGATTCAGTAGGTCCCACAACAACAATCCTGTAGTGAAAATTGGACACTTTAAGTGAAAGTTTTTGTGTTATAAAATTGATTTCTTTCTGTGAATCTAATAGATATATTTCGTGCAATGAAAACTGCGTTGAAAATGTGCGTATAAGAAACGGAATCCAAATGAAGGAATTTGGCTTCAATATCTCAGTAAGGAAGTTACTTAAAATTCGCAGGCTGTTCAGGACAGAAGACAAGCGCTACTATGAAAAATAAAAAATTCGCTTCAGCTACACAACCAAATTTAATATTATGAAGTAAAAAGCGTTTACCCAAAATCGTCATTTTCATGCCCACTTTCTGTCAGGAAATTTGAGTTTCCATCACAGAGGCAGAGCAGACATACGTTTACTGGCCGCACCTGTCACTTTATCAGCCGCATTTGTGACATTTCTAATGTCTATAATGACTCCTGTCATCACTCACAGATTGACATTAATCAAAATGATTATATACAAATTGAAATGTTATATTAAAATACGATTTCGGGTAAAATTTAATACAAAAATCATCAGTAAAATGACATTACTTGACCCGGAAATTGAAGTACTCAGCCCCAAAGGGCCTCGAACTTCAATATTTTCTTGCCAGTAATGTGTCATTTTCCTGACTTTTATGTACTTAAATAACTATTACGTAAAATGAATGAGATAATGAGAGTTCCAACATTAAGTAACGGTGTAGATTAAGTTTTAAAGATTTAATAAAATAGTGTAACGGAAATGCTCCAGACATGACGTCGCCTTTGGCGCTCTGGAATTTTCTACGCGCGCGAATATTCGAGAATGTACTAGACTTACATTGCTTGCGTGTATAAATGGTTGCGGACCGAACATCGCAGCAGTCTACTATCGAACGAGATCGAGTACGGACGAAACATAGAGCGCGAAAAGCTGATATAAATTTCGAAGTGTGTGATATAAATAATCGATATAAATTGTACGGATTTTATAGGGTTTTAGTTCTGTTTAATAAATATTGATATAAATCGAACCCGAATTAATAAATAACGTTACAATACCATTCGGAAAATCAAAATATTAACACAGATTCTCTGTACTATTTCTTCAACTGATGAAATAATTCATATTGAACTGAATCCATTTGCAACCGATCCTAGTAGTGAATCGAATAATTTTATAGAATTATGTATTTTACGATTCATGCCATATTTGTTTAATAATACCAGGTGCGCCAACTTAATGGGTATTGAGGGTGTGACGTAATTTTTATTTTAATGTTAAATTGTTAAATTCAGAAAATGCAGTAGAGAATCTTAAGCAATTTCTAACCTTTATTAGAATTTAGAATTAGATTTTAAGAATTCTGTTTTTCTTGTGTGCGTTATGGACATGATGTCGTGTGATGTCCTAAAAAATGCGTAGTTGTTATCCTATGCAGCTATTGTGTGGGGTAATTCTTCTGCAAGTAGCCATTTATTTAAGATACAACGTGAACTTTCTGCGAGCTTAGTTATAGAGTATCTCCCAGCATACACTCGTGACGCCAGCAAACAATTGGTGGTAACGGTCTATAAGAATAAACACTATACCAACCATTCCTGCTTGAGTTTCGGACATTTTTGCAACGTTGATTAAAAAACAATCATACACTACCGACACGTTACTGTTAATTGTAAGAATTGAACATCTTTTGTTTCATCGACACCCACTTGGGTTCGGAAAATAAGGTTTTTTTTCAAATTGGCGTTTTGACTTGGTTTTTCTCTGAAATTTTCTTATAGATTGTGTGGTTTTGTTTATATAAGGTATAATTTATTTAGGGGGTGCAATTTAAAATTTTTAAAAATATGACATTTGACGAAGGTCAATCGAAAATGTAATTTTTTGATAAATTAACAATTAACTAATATTAAAACTCATCGTAATCAACAAAGAACTTTTTCGTATCGCTAACAGTAACCCTCGGTTAAAAGTCAGCGAACCCTAACGAAGGCCGATTACTTCCCATCAATTAGTTAAAAGTAAGTTTCTCAGAGTATCATAAATAAAATTTTGTATACAACGGCATAAGGCAATTAATCGGTGCATTTACCCGCAATAAAACCTAATAAATAATTTTGGCAAAATTAGTATCAACACAGTGGAACATTGGTATTTCATTCCTTTGCATAATCACAATCTCGCGTATTGCTTTCGCGAAATTGAAGCCGGTTTGCTCGGATTCGCAGTACGTATGTGCCCTTTAGTTTTGTATTCATCAAGGAGTCAACTGTATCAATGAAGCGGCCATATTTCTAAAGGAAGCAGTCTTTTCCAAGAGGAGATAAGATCAATGTATAACCTGAAAGAAATCTCACCCACGTCCATAATAGTTATTTTCGAGGTTATTTTAAAACGTTTTCATTTGTATAAAGTAGCGGTCGATTATTTTTAGGAATGTGCTTATTGAATTTTGGTTTGAAGTAATTTTCATATTCCTACAGAATCGACCAGACAAATTTTGTATTGTATTTATTGTTAAAAAGCCGATCAAAACAAAGAATTTGAGTTATTTTCTTTCATTGATTGGAAAATTTGCATTTAATTTCAGTCCTACTACTCCTTTGGTTGGATTAATTTTTGTTTAGCATTCAGAGCTGTATGTATATTGTAAACAGGAGAATGTACTAAGAATTTAGATTTTTTGTATTTCGTTTTATGAATCAAGCAATATTTTGTATCCAGGAAGTGTGAAGATAAATAGAAATTGATTACTTTTCTAATAGGAGCTTTCTTGTCAATAGTTACGAGTGTCTGAAGGACAAGGAGAAATATAGCAAACCCAAACGAGCTCCTGAGTATGGCTATAGCATGCGCAAACCAAATTTTAACATCGGCGTTTGATTTGCTTTTATTCATGTATCATGTATCAAATTTCATTTAAATGCTTTCATAAATAACAACGTTGGCACTGCGCATGCGCAAAACCCAATTTTGAAACTACCATTACGTTTGCTTTTATTCCAAGTGCCTAAGTATCAAATTTCATTTACATACCATCATAATTAATAGTGTTTGCAATTCGGTTCGTAAATCATCACGATGCGAAAAGGGCACTGCTAATGTTGAATCGATTAGACTCAACTTTTGGCATTGCGTATTGTATGGCTAGAGCCATATTGAATTTCGTGCAATTCGGTTCATAAATAACAGAGGTGTCAAAAGAGCCATGCTTATTTTATGGCCTACATTGCCAATTCACGAACTCCCATCTACAAATTCGATAAAGAATCCGCCTAAAAAATTTCATCGTAGGTAATCGGTCCATTTGTTATCGAGATATCATGCTAACGGACAGACGGACAGATACCACAAAATTATAAACTCGCTAGGAGCTCGTTAATAAGGAGTACCACAGATACAAAGTATCAAAGAACAACATTACAAAAACATATAGTCTACTGTTTCTACAGGTCTCATAATGAATTAGGTAGTAGGAGATTTGAAATGAGTCCACAAGAAGAGTCTTAATTTGAGATAGTTACTCCGATGTAAATTTACCTCTATTGTACTTTCAAGATGAAATTTGATTCATGTGCTTGTAACAAAATAACCCAGGATGAAACGTCACCCTGTATATAAACACAATGTTTTAATCGCTGCTTTTTGCTTATGCGGAATACGGAAGTACAGGCGAATTTACATCATGCACTTTGGGTATACACCGCGGCTGATTCTTTTATTTCAATTCATCAATTTTCAAAATGACGTTAAACCATCAGCAAGTAATAAGTGTAGGAATAGAAATAATCAGTTTAGCCCTATTAGATGAATGTAGGAAAATTTTGAAAACCAAAAAAGCACGACGTCACCGTCCGGCCATGGATTCAACGCCGAGAACAGTTAGGAGCATAAACGCAATCGTATGGTATCGTATCGTATGGGTGACACTACCTAGGTACGCAATTATTAACCGAATGAACTGGAAAAGATCCTAGGGCGTACCGGAAATATTTGAAAATGACTGAAGATCAATTTGATTTTCTCTTGGAGGTCCTTAGCCCTACAATACAGACGGCCGATACCGTCTTCAAGGAAGCATTGCTTGCAAAACTGTAGCAAATCACGTTCCATTACGTAGCTATGTCTTGTATTCTATTGTAGCGTATCAGTCAAGATTATGAGGTTTGCAAAGCGATTTACAATGAACGGTAAAAAGATAAATCATACGCGTTGAAGTAGTGATCCAACATTGAACAAGGTCGAAAGCTTTGAATGATGTGTTTTAAGATGTATTTATATTCCTTAAAAGAAGTTATGGGTAAATTTCAAAATTATACTCTGCAATCCAAGGAGAGGATTTAAAGTCATTTTCTGAAAAAAAAAGTGTACATAGCCTGTTATCTGTCAAAGAAGCATATGCGCATAAGAACCATATTTAATATTCACTGCAGTGCAAGTTACCTAATATACCTTTAGTTCGATTTCAAAGCAAATGAGACCTCTTTTTTTATTGAAAAC